CCCTCGTCCCCTCATAGCCCAGCTCTGTGTCCACGCTGGAGAAGCCCTCTGTCCCCTCACGGCCCAGCCCTGTGTCCACACTGCGGCAGCCCTTGTCCCCTCACAGCCCAGCCCTGTGTCCACGCTGGAGAAGCCCTCTGTCCCCTCACGGCCCAGCCCTGTGTCCACGCTGCGGCAGCCCTCGTCCCCTCATGACCCAGCTCCCTCTGTCCCCTCACGGCCCAGCTCCACGTCCACACTGGAGAAGCCCTCTGTCCCCTCACGCAGCCCACCTTTGTGTCCACACTGAGGCAGCCCTCGTCCCCTCACAGCCCAGCTCTGCGTCCATGCCGAGGCAGCTCCCCACCCCACACCGGCCTGTGCTCGGGACACACTGGGATCTGGACAGTCCTTGGGGCTTGTTTCCTTTGAGCTGGCCTGAGCCTGGGGGTGGGCTCTACAGCAGCCTGGGTGTGAGGGCCTGCCTGTGCCCGACCCCTCAGGCAGGCCCAGCAGTGGCCCCTGCTGACCCTTGGGGTACTTTCTAAAGCACTGCAGAGCCTGCTGGGAGCCTCAGCTGCCTCCCTCACCCCCAGTGTGGCCCTCTGGGGATGAGATGGGGTCTAGTAACACCTGTGCCCTCCACCTGGAGAAAGGACCATAATAGCCCTGGGGGACACAGGGAGGCCAGAAAGGGACAGATCAAGGACTGGACAGAGGAGTGCTTTGCAGGCGGCCCCTGGCTTCTCTGGGAGCCTTTGGGGGCTAAGGTATGCCTCAATAGTGCACCCAGGCCGTGGCTGGCTGCTGGCTAAAAGGTGGAGGCTCTGTCCACTCAGAAAGTGCCTCAGAGGAAGGCCTAGCAGTCAACACTCAAGGCTAAGCCCTACACACCCTGTGGGCCCAAGTCAGGGCTGACCAGACAGCAGTGCACGTGGGGCTGAGACCTGAAGGGCACTGGGAGAGGTGGACCTTGAGGGCCGTCCCTGCGGGAGTGGATGTATGTCCATCCCTGGACTGATGGGCCCTGCCTCCCCTCCCTACCCTGCCTGTTCGCTCCAGAAACGCTGCCTTTCTCTGGGGAGGAGGACGTGAGCGACCCCGAAGCCTTGAAGTCTCTGCTGTCACTGCAGTGGAAGAACAAAGCAGCCAGCTTCCAGGCAGAGCGCAAGTTCAATGCCGCGGCCGCACTGACCAAGCCCTACTGCGCTGTCTGCACCCTATTCTGCCCCTACAGCCAGGTGAGGGGACAGTGGACAGGGCTCAGTGCCACCGGGGCTGATGGAAAAATCTGGAAACTGATGTGGTGATGGTCCCGCCATGGAAGAGAGTGTCCCGCTATGTACGGGGCTCAGCTGACCGGGACGTGTCCGTTATGGGGAGTTTACTAATCTGTTTTACACATGGGAGCACTGGTGGGCTCATGGATGGGTAAGGAGCTGTGCTGCCAACCCACAGGAAGGCAGTTCGAATCTGCCAGCTTCGTGGAAGAAACACGGCAGTGCCCTCCCACGGGGTTTACAGCCCTGAAAACCTGCCAGAGGGCTGGCTCTGACTTAGGGCTGACCGGGGGCTGGCTCTGACCGGAGGGCTGACCGGGGGCTGGCTCTGACTGGAGGGCTGACCGGGGGCTGGCTCTGACTGGAGGGCTGACC